TATGACCCAACAATCCCTCTACTTGGTATGAATCCCCCAAGAAATAACATAGATAGATATAAGTACATATATGCACATCTCTGTTCATCACAGACTATCCACAATAGCAAAAAAAAAAGATGGAAAGAGCCTAAATGCCCATCAATTAAAGGATGGATAAACAAGCTTTGATACATACATACAATGTAATACTACATAATGTTGAAGAATAATGATGCATCTGTGAAACACTTCATAATATGGATGAACCTGGAGGTCATTATGCTGAGTGAAATTAGTCAATCACAAAAGGATAGTGTATGAAACCACTATTGTAAAAACTCAAGAAAAGGTTTTCATACTAAAAGAAACATTCTTTGATAGTTACCAGCAGTGGGAGGGAAGGGAGAATAATTCACTGGCTAGAGGATAGACACATGTAAACTCAGGTGACAGGGAGGGCAATACACAAGAAGAGGGAGGTTGACAGAAGAATGATGAAGACAGGTGAAGACACAGGGATGTATGTAAGGGTTAAAGGTAATAAATAGAATTAAACACTGCTGTATAAACAACCTTGGACCAACATTGTTCTACAGGTAGATACATGGACAGATACATAGGTTTAACGGGTATGGGAGGGAAAGTGGAGTATACTCATAAATATATAAGGATCAGAAAGAGGATATTTGTACACTGGTATTGATGTTTGCTGTAAACAACTATGAATGTAGTGGAGAATACAGGGGACAAAATGATAAAACTTCTTAGCTATTATCAAATATCTTAAGATAATGAGTTTCTGGCAGCATAAGACCATAGTCTCAGGGGACACTAGGGTCAATTGGCATAACATTGTCTTCAAAGACAATGTTCTACACCATTGTTTTGTGAGTAGTGACTGTATTTTAAAAGCTCATGAGTGATCATCTAAAGTTGTTGGTCTCTCCATGTGTAGAAGAAAGAAAAATGATGGAAATTTGAAGATGCTTGGAATCAACTAGTCAATGGATCAATGGAACAAACCTATGAACATCAGTTACCATGACTCTGATTCCAGAAGATCTAGATGGTGACTGGCTACAACTACTAACAGCTTTGAAAGAGATTGCATTAGAAGGTCCCCGATAGAGTGAGAGAAAATGTAGAACAAATCTCAAAATTATTTTAAAAAACTAGGCTTACTGGACAGATATAGACTGGAGGAACCCAAGACTATATATAGCCTTTGACCACACTTCAGGTCTGTAATGGAACTCAACTTAGTAGCTCTTTTTCTTTCTTTTCTTTTTTACATTTTACTGTGAACTGGTAAAGGTTAACAGAGATCATCTATTTTACATTCAACAAATCTACACTTTTTTTCATCTCAATTATTGCAGTCCACTCCATGAAACAACAGTTATCCCAATTCCCCATGGGTTCCTACTTCCATTCCACACTCCTATCACTTTCATTTCCATATGAAGTTAGTCATCAGTTTTTCTGTCTCTTTAAAAAATGATGGTGGAATCTGAAGGGGGATTGCAATATAACTACAGATTGTTTTAGGTAGTATTGACATTTTCACAATGTCAAGTCTTTCTACCCATGAGCATGGCATATTCTTCTATTTTTGTAAGTCTCTTGTAATAATGTTTTGTAGTTTTCTTTGTATAGGTCTTTTGTTTCTCTAGTTAGGTTTATTCCTAAATATTTCATCTTTTGGGTGTCTATTGTAAATGGTATTGTTTCCTTAGTTTACTTTTCAGAGCTGTCTTTATCAGTATAAAGAAATCTAACTGTTTTCTGTATATTGATCTTGCACCCTGACACTCTGCTGAATCTTTCAATGAGTTCCAATAATTTTCTCACTGAGTCTTAGGGATTTTCTATGTACAGGATCACATCAGTTATAAATAGAGTTTTACTTCTTCTATGCCAATTCATATGCCTTTAATTTCTCTTTCTTGCCTTAAAACTCTAAGACTTCCAACACAATATTGAATAGGAGTGGTGATAAAGTACATCGTTGTCTAGATCCTGTTAGCAAAGGGAATGCTCTCAGTTTCTCTTCACTGAGAGTAATGTAGGCTATTGGATTTGTATATGTGCCTTCAATTACGTTGAGGAATTTCCCTTCTATTCCTATTGTGCTGTGTGTTTTTATTAGGGATATATGTTGGATTTTGTCAAATGCCTTTTCTGCATCAATCTATATCATGTGGAGTTTTTTCTTGTTTTATTTATACTGATTGTTTTTCTAATATTGAACCACCTAGTATGAATCTTACTTGCTCATTATGAGAACATTTTTTAAATATGTTGCTGAATTATCTTGGCTGGGATTTTTGTTGAGAATATACACTTAAGTTCATGAGGGATATTGGTCTATAATTTCTTTTTTTGGTGATACCTTTGCCTGGTTTTGGTATGAGAGTTATACCCACTTTATAAAATGTATTTGGAAGTTTTCCATAATTTTCTATGTTCTGAAATAGTTTCAGTGTCAGCTGTTCTCTGAATGTTTGGTAGAATTCACCAGTAAAGCTATCTGGGCCATGGTCAAATTTTCAGCCAAGAAGCAGATAGACATATAGTGGGACAACAACACTAGTAAGATATGCTCACCATGGAATGGTATACCACTGAAGATCAAAATGGCAACATTTACCTAAGGAAAAAAGTTGAGGAGGAATGGGAAGGAGAATGGAATGGAAAGAAGGATCCCAGGGAGGAAGTGAGATAATGGTTGCTACTTGGAGGGGATTACAATTATTGAGGTGAGCAAAGGTGTATGATCTGTTGAATGTAAAATGTCATTGTCTCTGTAAATCTTCACTGGATTCACAATAAAAAGTTTAAGAAAGAAAAAAGCTTAGTGTAAAGCTTAATTCCCGCTTTATTTTTTCCAGATGCTTGCTAGTGATACCAACACTATTTACTAAATAATCAATCTCTTCCCTACAAATTCAAGATGATATTGTTATCATATACCAAGTTCTTTATATACTTGAGTTTATTTTTGTACTTTAAATTCTGTTCTATTGGCCTGTTTATTCATAAACCAATACTATATATTACATGAATATATATGCCTTTGTACTATGTGTCAGTTTTTAAATACATCCACAAGTTCTTTCACACTTCCTTTCAAATGATGGAGTCTAATTCCCCTCGTCCTAAATATGGGCATACTTAGTACCTCACTTTCAGTAAATAGAATGTGGCAAAAATGATATTATGTTACTTCCGTGAGTAGTTCACAAAAGGAAAGCTTCCACCTAACTAAGTCATTATTGGATAACTTGCACTGGAGGAAGTGTGGTGAAGACACTCAAGCAAACCTAAAGAGAGGCCCACTTGGATAGAATCAGAAGCTGGTACCTACTTGTCAGATATGTACGTGAATCAGCCTGAAAATGGATCCTTCCTGGTGTGGTGCTGTAGGATAAGCACTGGACTGCAAACAAGAGGTCAGCAGTTCAAACCCACCAGCCAGTCCTTGGAAACCTCGTGCCACTGTATACAAGATCACTATGAGCCAAAACCAATTCAATGGCACTAGCAACAACAAGAACAAAGAGACTCTAATACCAGAAAGCTGACTCTCTTGAAATCTTGATGCACTAAAACTATTAAGGTAGCACAGTAGTTCCATAAGCAATGGATTACATGGCAATTTGAGCCCACCAGCCACTCCACAGTAGAAAGATAAGGCTGTCTGCTCCAGAAGATTGTAAAAACCTCAGAACCCTATACAGGGTTACTATAAGTTGGAACTAACTTGACGGCACTTAACAACAACAACAAAATAAACATCTTATATTAAAGGTAATGTCTGCACTTATTTAAAACCACTAAGTTTTGGAGTAACTGATTACACAGAAAAAGATAACTAATATAATATACTTAAAATCTTATAACATCTGACAAGACTATCTTCTTTTTCTATTTTTATTCTTTATCAGAGTTTATCTGGCTATTCTCATTTAGTTTTTTGTATAAACTTTAGTATCAATAACACACAGAGAGAGAATTTCATAATTACAAATTTATTTTTGAGTTCCAAATTAGTTTGAGGAAAACTAATGTATATATGTTGAGCCTTCCTATCCAAGAAAATGATGTATCTATCTGTCCAAGTCTATATCCTTCAATAGTATTTTAAAGGTCATATACTTGTAACATCTATTATTTAATTTTGGTTACATCATGGATTTTTTTTCCATTCCAAATGTTATTTTTATTAATTTTACATGAAAATGATTGTAGTTCATATGTAAACATATTCACTAATGATCTGGGCTTGCTAAGTTTTCTACGCTATTGTCTTACCAAATTATCTCATTTTCTTTTTTTAATTAATTTTTTTAAAGTTTTCATTGTGAATTGAGTGAAACAAATTATCTCATTTTATAGCAGTTTCTTAGTTGAGTATCTTAGGTTTCCATACATGCAATTACATCTTCTGCATATGATAATAATAACTATACTAAGATTTTTCTGTTTATAACAATACCAGATTTTTCTGGTTCCCAGAATATAAATTCCATAAATTCATAAATTTTTGTTACTTTGTTAAGTGCTTTGTCTACAATACTCAAAGTAGTACTTGGCACAAAATAGATACTCATCAAATATTTGAAGTCAACTGCATAGACTAAAAGCTCCAGTATAATGTTTAATAACAGTACTTGATAGTGGACATCATTGTTTTGTTCTTGAATTGAATAAGAATGTCTCTAGTATATCTCCATTAAACTTGATGCTGGCTTTTGGGATGACTCAGATGTACAATTATCTGTCCCTACTACATTCAGTGTTCTTATTAGAAACGGTTGAATTTTAGTAAATGCATCATTTTTATAAAAATAGTAAAATTATTTTCAAAAACTTCCCACATTTATAGGTATTTAAATATTTTAATTCAAGAAGTAAAACACAGAAAATAATAGCTATAAAAACATGTAGCTTGTATTTCAAACAATAACAGAAGTAAATGCCTTAACTTATGCTATTTAAAATTCTGCCATCACTATTTAAACTTCATTAATTACATTAGTATAATACTTCATCTCAACATCTACAATTTTAACAAATTCTTGGAAAGTTTTTTGTTCAGAAACTGATGCTGGTCTGACAGAAACACATTTGAAAATGTTGTTTTTCTGGTCATAGTTTCCCACACACCTGTGAACTCGACCTCTAATCAGTCTTGGAAGTTCACGATCCTGTTTATTTAAATAAAAATAAAAAGTTAATACTTCATCTGTATTTCAATTTTTAAGATAAAATTATCAATTCAATGTGAATCCACCCCAAATGATTTAATTCCATCATCTGAATCAGGCCACACAGCTAACAAAACCAGGATAATTAGGAATATATGAGTATTCTGTCACAAAGATTATAGCTTATTTGGTTAGGGCCTCTTCCAAACTAGCTAGCTTCAGCTTCTTAAAAAATTGAATGATCTCCGGTGTAATGGCACATGAATTATCCACTCTTTTTTCAGACTACCATCATTCTGCTTTGAATAGGTATCAGACTGGGTGGGTCAGACCAACTTACCAGATGAGAACTAAAATAGCCAGATGAAATATTTTGTTTAAAAAATCTCCATGTAGAATGAATTTTGGTCCTGCCAAATGATTGACATAAAGGTCGAGGAAAATAAGGAAGAATTCAGAAAAGCACTACAGGATCAAAGAAACAAAATAGGTAAAGGATTGAAGACAATACAAAACCTGCAAACAGAAATCCAGAAGATTAACACTAAAATATCAGAAATGGGCAAGACATTGAAAAGACAAAGGAGTAGAGTTGAAGCAATGGAATCCAGTACTAGTGAATTGGAAGATAAACTTCTCAATACTAGTAAGCTAAAAGAACAATGGGAAAGAAGAATGAAAAATACCAAGAAAGCCTAAGATTCATGTGGGATACCATGAAGAGGTGTAACTTACAGAATTCCAGAACAGGAACAACAAAGAAAAGACAGTTGAAGAACTGTTGGAAGAAAATTTCCCTAGCATCATGAAAGATGAGAAGATAAGCATTCAAGAAGTGGAATGAACTCCAAACAATATAAATCCAAAAAGCAAATCACCAAGACATATTATAATCAAACTCTCCAAAATCAAAGACAAGGAAAGAGTACTGCAAGCAGCTCAGCAAAAACGAAATGTTATCAACAAAGGAAAACCAGTAAGATTAAGCTCTGAATCTCAGCAGAACCCATGCAGATAAGAAGACAATGGATATATATATATATATATAAAGCTCTGAAAGAAAAAAACTACCAACCAAGATTCATATGCCCAGCAAAACTGTCCCTCAAATGTAACAGCAAAATTAGAACATTTCTAGATAAACAGAAATTAAAGGAATGTGTAAAAAACAGACAAACGTTACCAAAAAAATACTAAAAGGAGTCCTCTGGACTGAGAACCAACAACAAGAGATTGACATGCATGCCAATACCACCCAAAATTCAATACAGATATAGAAGTATCCAAAGTAAAACAAAACTACAAGACTGAAAATAGGAAATCCGAGATATCAATTTATAATAAAGACAACTACTACAGAGCAAAAAGAGGGGAAAGTATTGTTGCAAAATTCCAAACAGTGACGAAATCAAGTAGATTTCAATATAAAAGAGACTGTCTTAAAATGGGAAGGAAATTAATAAGTTAGAGGGAGGGTAACCTCAAAAGAAACTTAATATACCTTCACATCAAATCAAGAAAATGAAAATCTATGAAGATTTCATATGTGAACATTAAAACAATGAAATGAAGAAGTTGACAAGAACCAAAAAAAGTGAATTCAACAGAAGAAAACATGAGATGGGTGTGTGTGTGTGGGGGGGGGGGGAACCAGCAGCACCAAACATACAAAAAAACTCACACAACAAAATGACTGCAATTAATTAATACCTATTGATAATTGGTCTGACACTGTAGAATAAGCATTTGACTACAAGGTCAGATTGAACCGCAAGGTTGGCAGCTCAAATTCATGAGGTGCTCATTGGAAACCCTACACAAGGCTGTTATGAGCTGGAATTCAATAGCACTTAACAACAACATTGATAATGATATTGAATGTTAATGGGTTAAATGAACCAGTCAAGTGAATGAGTAGTAAAATAGATAAGAAAATGGGATTCTTTAATATGCTGTCTACAAGAGCTACACCTTACACACAAAGACACACACAGATTGAAAATTAAAGGATGAAAAAAATACATATAATTATAAAAGTAATGGCAATAATAAATTAGCAGGAATAGGAATATTAATTTCTGATAAAACAGACTTTAAAGCAAAAACCAGCGTAAGACACAAAGGATAATATCACATGATTAAAGAGTTAATTTAACAAGAGGATATACCCATAATAAATATCTATTCTCTCAATGAAAGAACCTCAAAATACAAAAATCAAACTCTAATATAATTGAAGAAAGAAATAGACAACTCTACAATAATAGTAGGAGATTTTAATACACCACTTTCAAAACTGGACAGAACAACTAGAATGAAACTAAACAAAGGCACAGAAGAACTAAGTAACAGAATCAATCAACTTGACCTCATAGATTTATATAGAACACTCAATCCAACAACAGCATAATACACATTCTTTTCCAGTGCACATGGAACATTCTCCAGAATCGACAATACCTTATGCCACAAAGCAAGCTTCAATAAATTTAAGAACATCAAAATACTACAAACTATCTTTCCAAACCACAATGCTATCAAAAATTAGAAATTAGCATAGAAAGATCAAGGAAACAAAGACATAAAAACTGAATAATACCCTGCTTAAAGCTACTGGGTAATAGAACAAATATAAAATGAAATTTTAAAATTCCTCAAATCAAATGAGAACGAAAACACAACATTTCAAAACCTTTGGGACACAACAAAAGCAGAGCTTAGAAGGTAATTTATAACAATAAACACACACATCCAAAGAAAAAAAGAGAATTGAAATCAATATATTAACACAACATCACCAACAATTAGAAAAATATCAGCAAAGTGAGTCTACAGTCACCAAATGAAAAGACACAATACAGCAGAAATAAATTAATTAGAAAACAGAAAACCAATAGAAAGAATCAACAAGACAAGAAGTTGGTTTTTTGAAAGGAGTAATAAAAATTTTAAAACATTGGCAAATCTAATAGAAGATGCAAATAACATGCATAAGAAATAATATGGGTAACTCACAAAAGAACCAACAAAAATAAAAACGATAACAGAATACTGTGAAGAATTGCACTCCAATAAATTTGAAAATCTAGAAGAAAAGAATACATTTTTAGAAAAACACAATATACCTAAACTAACACAGAGTGAAGTAGAAAACTTAAACAGGCCTATAATAAAAGAAAAATATAATCAGGAAAACTTAAAACTTCTAACAAAAAAAGCCCAGGTTCAGATGGCTTGACTGGTAAATTTCACCAAACATTCAGAGAAAAGCTGACACTAATTTTACTCAAATTATTCCAGAACATAGAAAAGGATACAAAACTCCCATATACATTTTATGAAGTGAATATAACCCTCATACCAAACCCATGCAAAGACATTACTAAAAAAAAAAATTATAAAGACCAGTATCTCTCATGAACAAAGATGTAAAAATTCCCAACAAAATCTTAGCCAATAGAATGCAAAAAATAATACATCATGACCTAGTAGAAATCATACCAGGGATGCAAAGATGTTTGAAATAAAAAAAACAAAACAAAACAATGTAAACCACCATATAAATAAATTTTTAAAAAGGAAAAGAACAATATGATCATTTTGCTTGATGCAGAAAAGGCATTTGACAAAGTAAACATCTGTTCTTAATAAAAACACTCATCAAAGTAGGAATAGAGGGAAATTCTTCAACATAATTTAAATCATATATACAAATCCAACAGCCAACATTACTTTCAATGAAGAGAAACTGAAAGCTTTCCTGCTGCGAATAGGAATCAGACAAAGATGCATTTTATCATCACTCCTATTCAATATTGTGCTGGAAGTCTTAAAGCTAAAGGGCAAGAAAGGGATATTAAAGGCATCTAAATTGGCACAGAAGAAGTAAAACTCTATTTATAGATGATATGATTCTATACATAGAAAATCCCAAACTCTGCAAGATAATTATTGGAGCTCGTTAAAAAATTCAGCAAAGTAACAGGCTATATGATCAATATACAAAAATCAGTTGGATTCCTCTATACTAATAAAGACAGCTCTGAACCCTTCCAAGACTAAGACTCAATGGGAATACACACTGCGATTGGTGACCATGTTCGTCACCGATAAGGGGAAGTGAGGGGAAAACAGCAATGAAGCGGCAAGCTAAGCCCTACAACGTTCAACAGACTCCTGTGAACCCAGGTGGAGAACTGGTTGGCCAGCAATGTGGCAAGACCTGGGGACTCTTGGGCCACAGAGGACGAGAGTGGAGAGTGAAGCATCCAGTTGATAACAAGAGAGGGCATATGCACAAGAACACCCACACATGCAGATAATACCCACTTGACCTGGCTTCAATGACTGGATGATCAGCGCTCAACCAGAAGAAGAAAGAAGAGGAAAAAATAAAAAAGAGTAATCTGATACAATTTGATGAACTTGACCTACACCTATGGATGCAGTAGATCAAAAGGAGGAAACGAATCCTTACAGCAAGGATCATTCCCACCCCCTCCATACACAGAGTAGACAGGAATGGGCAACTTGGACATTGGCTACCCAAAATGGGGGGCAGGGGAGGGCTACAAAGGCAAGAAGTGACTGGCTTACAAGCTTTCAAGAGGGAACCTAGATCCAGGGGGTGTGGAGGAAGGTAGAATCTCCACTGAGTAGTATCCAATCTGTCTAAGTAGGGCTGATGAAATGAAATGCAGATAGGTCTACTGCGATACAACAGTGAATAATTGTTATCAGGACTGACTCTGAGGGTTGGAAATGTAAAGGTAGATGTTTTATAGCAAGGATGGGAGTGATTAACTTTTCAGTCTAGGAGCAGAGGTCCCTGGGACCATCAACGGATAAAAGCGGAGCGTGAGACCCCACCCAGAGAAGTAGTGACGCCAGAGATGGAGGCAGAGACGATGATGTGGAGAGATGGAGCAGCTGGGGATTTTAGATCCAGAGAGAGAGAGGGGCTGTGTGATGGCGACTGGGGAGCAGGCTTGTAGTGTATGCCCTTTGGTTGGGTGGTGATACATGGAGGGGATTGTAACCATGGCAATGAAATGATATACGATAGAATGAATGTAAAACTAATGTTCTCCCATGTAAACTATCACATAATTCACAATAAAACATAAAAAAAAAAGACAGCTCTGAAAAGGAAACTAGGAAAATACCACTTACAATAGCCACCCAAAAGATGAAATACTTAGGAATAAATCTAATCAGAGAAACAAAAGACTTGTACTATGAAAACTACAAAGCATTATTACATTATTACAAGAAACCAAAAGAGATTTACAAAAATAAAAGAAGATATTGTGCTCAGGGATAGGAAGACTTAACATTGTGAAAATGTCAATACTACCCAAAATAATCTACAGATACAACACAATCTCAATCCAAATTCCAACACCATAGATCCATGGAACAGAATTAAGAACCCAGAAGTCAATCTTTCCACATAGTCAGCTGATCTTTGACAAAGGACCAAAGCACATTAAAAAGGGAAGAGATAGTCTCTTCAACAATTGGTACTGGCAAAACTAGAAATCCATTTGCCGTAAAATGAAATAAGACCCATATCTCACTCTATATATTAAAACAAAATCAGTGTGGATGAACCTAAATGTAAAACCTAGAACTAGAAAGATAATCTATGAAAAAATATGGAACTATTTAGGGACTCTGATACATGACATAAATACACTGTCAAACATAATTGAAAACACACAAACAGTAAAAGACAAAATAAATGACTAGGACCTCCTTAAAATTACATAAATGTAGTTACTTTTAGGTAGGAGATTTATTGGAAATTACTTAACCTAGTAAGTGCTCACTTTGTGGTATGTCAGAGAAGTATATATGTATAATTTGTGACTTGTTCTGTGCGTATGTAATACTACAATAAAAAGTTATTTTTAGAACTTTGTTTTTATTAACAGATCCAAGAAAAATAATAAGCATTTGAGGTACTACAGAAATTAATAACATGACAATTACTATTTCTTAACAATCTACTAGGAGTTGTGGTGTGGCAGAAATTGTACATGTGCATACTTTATCATGTAATCTCCACAACAACCCTACCTTCAAAGTAAGGATTAATTTCCCCATTTTACTGATAAAGAGAATGAAACTCAGAAAGTTCAAGCAGCTTGTTCAAAGTTACAAATCTAGTAAAGAACAGGAACACAAGACTGGCTATTCCTGAAATGTCAAAATTAAGACTAAACTCTAACAAATTACGTTTTACACAGCCCCTTTTTGTGATGGCCAATCTCTTTTGTCACCCCTAGCCTTCTCTGTCACCAATCCTTTTCCTTATGTCTTAGCACACTTTATGCCTTACCCCAACTCTGGAACCACTATCCTTACCCCACATAAGTCTACACTAAAGTAATGAATTATGAAGTGTTTATAGTTTCCTGAATAAATCAGAGTCAGTTCCAACTCACAGCAACCCAATAGAGGGTTTCCAAGGAGCAGCTGGTGAGTTTGAACTGCTGGCCTTGTGGTTCAAACTGACCTTGTGGTCCTGTGTTTATCCTACAGCGCCACACCAGGACTCCATACCAGAGTGTAAGGTTTATTTATCTGTCTTTCTGCTTGAGATTAAAAACTCCTGGAGAGACAAAGCCATCTACCACACGGAATCCCTTGTACCCAGCACAATACCTGACACAGAGAGTATGTTCTCAATTCTAATTAAACAACTGAAAAATTTAATGTCAAAATAAAACCAAACAAATGTTGAAAATACTACAAAACCATTAACAGAACTTCTATTATAGCAGATTTATAGCCTGCAAATGTATGTTTCGTCGGTGTAGGTTTTGTAATGAATACTTGAATACTCACGATTTCATAAAATATACAAGGAAGAGTATTTTTGCCATCTCTCATAAGAAAAGTCTTTGAAAAATATGGACCAGGAGTAACAGCTGAATCAAGAACAGCTAAAAAAAAAACATTAAAATAGGGGAGGATAAAGTCAATACTTGTAAAGTACAAATAAAATCAAAACAAAAGTTGATATTTAAAATAATTAGTTATGGCAAATTCTTCATACTTCTATTTACAAAGTAATAGAGAAGATACTTTATGAAAGAAAGATATTTCTGAAACTCAAACTGAAACTGTAATACTAAAAGAAACAAAGTTTCTGGCCCTCTACAATTCAGAAAATGTTATAGGCCAAAGTTGATACAATTGATAGTAAATGGCCATCTGAAGCTTTTTCATTAAAAATTATTTCCTTAAAAATAATTCCCTATGTAAGTCTACATCATCATCATCTTAATAGCAAATACATGTTTTAAACAAGTAACATCATAGTTTATTGGAAAAACAGCAACAAACATTCAGTTAGAATCAGAAGTCATGCATTAGGTGCTAAATCTTCATCTTAAAAATATTTCATAATTGCTTAACCTCTTTCAAATCTATTTCTCCACCTATAAAATGCAGTGATTAATATTTATCTCAAGAAATTATTATCAAGTGAGAGCAATTATCCAGTCATTGAAAAACCATTTATTGGGTACTGGGAGTAGACATTTGTTATTTTGAGGCCAACCTCCATTCTCTTTGCTTCTGGTAATAACTTTCCTTTTGGAAAGTTCTCCAATGCCATTCTTAGCCATATGATTTGGATGGGGATTTGTCCCCACACACAGATCCAGGAGTGACCCTTGGCTTAAACTAATCATATTACATTCCTGGTATATATAGTTCAGTGTTTCAGAGACAGACATGTTACCTTCTCAGAAATGATGATATATAAAGATTCATAAGCTTTGTTGTTGTTTGGTGCCGTAGAATCCACTCCAACTCATAATGACCCTATGTACAACAGAAAGAAACACTGCCAGTCCTGTACCATCCTAACAGTCTTTTCTATGTTTGAATACATTGTTGCAGCCACTGTATCAATTTATTTCATTGATGGTTGTGGTACCTTGAATTTATTTGATATGGCTTTTCTATCCAGTGTTGTAATTCCCACTAGGTGATTGGGTGAGACCATGCAAATAAGGTATACAGGATTCTAAGGCTGGGATTAGTTAGTTTTGCCTTTCAGCTAGGTTTAAAAGGAACCATCTCAGAAGCAGAAACAGAAGATCTCAGGATCAACAAGAAGGAAGAGCATGAGTAGCATGTGAGATAGCAAGAGGCAATAGCAGAGGTGGTGATATGTAGAGATAGAGTAGCTGAAGCCTCTAGGCATATGTACTGAGGGAGAGGCCAAAAGGCCACATGGCTGAGAAGCTGAAGACAAGAGAGAGATGTGTTTGCAGTATGGCAGACAAGAGGCATTCCTAATAGAAAAACTGCTGCATCTTGAGTTGGTTTTGATCCTGAATTGTAGCCTGTTCACTTCCCTAATAAACCTCATATTGCTATGAGTTCTGTGTAATCAAATAATGGATTCTTGAACACAGATGTGAGGCAGAGAGTGCTGTGGGAGGGATGGTTGTTGTCAAAATAGAGTATACAGAAGGTTGTAGGGTGGAAGTCTGGCTGACCTCTGCTTCATAGGAATCAGCCTTGGGCTGATTGAGTTTGATTCTTTTTCCCCCTTGTGAAGCCAGGGTAAGTTAGACATGGTTTCCACATGGTTTTTGAAAGGATCTTCTTTCTTCTTCTTCTTCTTCTTTTTTTTTTTTTGCTGACTCTGTACCAAGTATGATTGATGTCCTTTTCCAGGAACTGGTTCCTGCTGACAACATGTCTAAAGCATGTGAAATGATGTTGCGGCATGATTGCTTCCACGTAGAAGTCTGGCTATTCTTCTTCCAAGATAGATTTGTTCATTCTTCCGGCAGTTCATGGTATATTCAATATTCTTCACCATCATAATTCAGATGCATCAATTTTTTAGATTTGTCCAGCTTTTGCATGCATATGAACAATTGAAAATGCCAGGGTTGGGTCAGATACACTTTAGTCCTCAAAGTGATATCTTTGCTCTTTACACTTAAAAGAGGATTTTTTGCAGCATATTTGCCCAGTGCATTATGATATTTGGCTTTCTGACTGCTAACAACAAGCATCCATGGGCATTCATTTGGTCCAAGTAAAATTAAATATTTGACAACTTCAATCATTTCTCCTACAACTTCAATCTTTTCTCCTATCATGATGCTGTTTATTGATCCAATTGTGAGGATTTTTTTTTCCTTATGTTTAAATGTGATACATATTGAAGGCTGTAGTCTTTGATTTTCATCAGTAAGTGCTTCAAGTCCTCTTTATTTCAGCAAGCAAGGTTGTATCATCTGCATATCACAGATTGTTAATGACTTTGCCTCCAATCCTGATGCCACATTCTTCATATAATCCAGTTTCTTGGGTTATTTGCTCATCATACAGATAGAATAAGTATGGCACACATCTGTCCTGATTTTAAACCATTCAGTATCCCATTGTTCTGTTTGAATGACTTCCTCTTGGACTATGTTCATGTGCTCTTGTCATGAGCACACTGAAGTATTTTAGAATTCCCATTTTATCAACATTATCTATAAACTGTTATGATCCACACAGTCAAATGTCTTTGCATAGTCAATAAAGCACAAGTAAACATCTTTCTGATAGTCTCTGTTTTAAACCAAGATTCATCTGTGTCAACAATGATATCTCTTGTTCCACGTCCTCTTCTGAATCCAACCTAAATTTCTGGTAGAGCTCTCTGTTGATGTATAGCTGCAACAATTTTTGAATTATCTTCAGCAAAACTTTACTTGCATATGATATTAAAGATATTATTTGCTGATTTCCACATTCCATTGGGTAACCTCTTTTTGAAATGATTACAAATATGGATCTATTAGAATTCTTTGGCCAGGTAGCTGTCTTCCAAATTTCTTGGCATAAATGAGTGGGCGCCTCCAGCACTGCATCAATTTTTGAACACTTTCATTTGTATTCCGTCAACCCTTGGAGCCTTGTTTTTTACCAAAGCCTTCAGTGCAGCTTGGACTTCTTCCTACAATATCATTATTTCTTGAGCATATGCTACTTCTTGAAATTGTTGAACATAGACCCATTCTTTTTGTTGCAACTCTGTTTATTTCTTCCATTTTCTTTTGATGTTTCCTGCATTATTCAATATTTTGACCACAGAATCCTTCAATATTGCAAATAGAGGATTAAATTTTTTATTCAGTTATTTTTGCTTGAGAAATACTGCATATGTTCTTCCCTTTTGGTTTTCAAACTCTAGGTCTTTGCACATTTCATTACAATACTTTATCTCTTTGAGCTGTCCTTTGAAATTTTCTGTTCATATCTTTTAGTTTATCATTTCTTCTAATTGCTTTAACTTCTTTCTGTTCAAGGGCAAGTTTCAGAATCTCTCTGACATCCACTTTGGTCTTTTCTTTCCTTTCTGTCTTTTTAATGACTGTTTGCTTTCTTCACGTATGATGTTCTTGATGTCATCCCACAACTCTTCTGGTCATTAGTGCCTAGTATAGCCAATCTGTCCTTGAAATGGTATCTAAATTCAGATGGGGTATACTCAAGGTCATATTTTAATTCTTGTGGACTTGTTTTAATTTTCTTCAGCTTCATCTAAGCTTTCATATGAGTAATTGATGGTCTGTTCCATAGTCAACTCCTGGCATTGTTTTGACTGATGATACTGAGTTTCTTGATCATCTCTTACCAAATTTAATTTTTGTGTATTCCATCGGTGAGGTACACATGTGCAGTCATCATTTCTGACAGTGATGCTGAAAAAAAGGTTATTTGCAATGAATAAATCATTGGTCTTACAAAATTCTATCATACAGTCTCCAGCATCATTTCTATCACCAATGTCATATTTTTCAACTACTGATCTTCTTCCTCTCTGTTTCCAACCTTAGCATCCCAATCACCAGTAATTATCAATACATCTTGATTGCAAGTTTGATCAATATCAGACTGAAGAAGTTGATTGAATTCTTCAATTTCATCATCATTGCTGTTAGTGGTTGGTGCATAAATTTGAATTATAGTGGCATTATCTTCTCTTCCTTGTAAATATGTGGATATTATTCCATCACTGACAGCATTGTACTTCAAGACAGATCTTGAAAATCTCTTTTTGATGATGAATGTGATGTCATTCCTCTTCAATATATCATTCCTAGCATAGTTAGCCATCTGACTGTCTGATTCAAAATGACCAATGCCTGTCCATTTCAGTTCACTAATACCTAGGTTTAGGATCTTTATGTGCTCCATTTCATTTTTTACAACTTCCAATTTCCCCATATTCATGCTTTATACATTCCCTGTTGTGATTATTAATGGATATTTGCAGCTGATTCTTCTCATTTTGAGTTGTGCCCCATCAGCAAATGAAGGTCCCGAAAGCTATGCTCCATCAATATCATTAATGTCAAATCTACTTTGAGGAGGCAGCTCTTATCCAGCTGTATTTTGAGTGCCTTCCAGCCTGAGGGGCTTATCTTCTGGTTCTATATCATGCAAGGTTCTGCTGCTACCCATAGGGTTTTCAGTGGTTAACGATCCAGAAGTGGTCTGTCTCTCCTTCTTCATCTGTCTTAATCTGGAAGCTCCATGGAAACCTGTCAACCATGGTGACTCTGCATAAAATGTGTCATAGTTTCCAGTATCACAGTAACATACAAGCTACCACAGTACAACAAATTGACAGGTAAGTGGTGAAAATGTGTGAATATTTATTATATTCTCTATATTTTTCTATATATTTACAATATTTCATAATTTAAACTTCATAAATAGTTATCTTATTCAAACTATGGAAGAAATAGATTTTGAATCTGTACTTATTTGTCTCTTCACTCTAGGCAAAATCAAATTCCAGAAGCATTCAACAAAACTTTCTCCCTCTTAAATATTAATTTTTTTTTTAAATCAACAAATTGTAGGATGGTTACTCATTACCCTACAATAGCACTAAAAGGTTCATTATAAATGTCCTTTCAGACTATTTAAAGTGTGATTTGATTTATATATATATGGTAGTTATGTGCTGTGGAGTTGGTTCTGACTCATAGCGACCCTGTACAGGGTTTCCAAGGCTGTAAATCTTTACAGGAGCAGAAAGCCTCATCTTTCTCCTGCGGAACAGCTGGTAGTTTCGAACTGCTGAACTTGTGGTTCGCAACCCGATTCGTAACCACTACGCTACCAGAGCTCCATATATATATATAATCATTACTGGATTTAGAGAAATATACTAGATTGAGAATTGCATGGCTTGGATTCTAAATCCATCTCTCCTCTAACTAGCTCTGTGATTCTAATCAAGTCTACTTTAATTAATTGCCCCATTTCCTCACCCTTCCTTTAAAGGGTTAGGTTAGATTATTGTAAGATTTTTTTCTACTTTTAACATTAAGAATCAGAACAATATGAATCTAAAGAGAAAGTCCAAATTCTTATAACTTAATTCACACAAATCAAAGACAGACCAAGGAACTAAAAAAACGTTATAAACAATAATTCCTTTTGTAATTTTTTTTTCTTCCAGATCCTCTAAATATATCCTCAGCAAAATGGATTGACACAGTGGCTGCAACAATGGACTAAGATATAACAATGATTGTGAGGATGGCACGGAACTGGACAGTGTTTATTTCTGTTGTACGTAGGGTCACTGTGAGTCAGGATCAACTCAACGTCACCTAGCAACAAAAACAAATATACCTATGGTGGCACAGTGATTCATCAGTGATTAGTCAGTTGCTAATTGAAAGGTCAACAGTTCAAATCTACTAACTGTTCCATAGGAGAAACATGGATCAGTCTGCTTCCATAAAAATTTACACTCTTGAAAATCCTATGGGAGAGTTCTACTCTATCCTATAGGGTTGCTATGCATCAGAATCTACTTGATGGCAATGGAGAGAAGTATACCTATTAACATTCAAGCAATATTAATAGTATTACTGAAGAATTTTTGAAGTACAGTAATACATAGCTTAAAATATATATGTTCTGTGAAATAGGACATAATGTAATTTGGACATTATGCAAACACCATATTACCATGCAGCCCCTGAATAATGAATTAGTTCTGCTCTTAAATTTGTATTTAAGTAGAATGTATATGTAAATTCATTAGGTACAGTTCTTATATAATGTCAGTCAAAAGTTATTTTAGTATACAGTATGCCTTTTCTATGAATAAAAAGCATTAAAAAAATATTTCCAGATGGATGAAAACATCTTTAACATAATAATACAATAATAATAATGTCTTGATGCATTTCACAAAGTAGCTTCCATTTTTTATTGTGAACCATTGTATGTATTTTTTTTAATATAATAGGCTTTTTAATATAATAGGCTTTATGAGGGTTGAGACCATGGTCATATATGCGGTTGGACATAGCCCAAATGGATGTCATGCAATGCATGACTATATTATACTTACCCAATATTTCAAAAAGAAGGATAGCTTTCTGTGCATGCTCACGCCAGTACTTCATGCTTTCAATAACCACTGATATAATTCTTAAAGAGTTATCTTTCTCCTTAAATTTTAACTCATATAATGGAGCTTCCTTTTGGGGGGAAAAAAAGCATTTATTCAGCATAGCATCTATTCAAACATAGCATTTATTCTTTAATTGCTTTCACCATACCTTTTTACCATCTATATAGCGATTCTAAGGAGCTCTGGTAGCGTAGTGGCTACGAATCGGGCTGCGAACCTTAAGGTCAGCGGTTCGAAACTACCAGCTGCTCCACGGGAGAAAGATGAGGCTTTC